ATATTAGTTTATATTAGCTAAACTATTAGATTTTAAACTTTTAAGATTAGATAATATTTAGTAATAGTGTTTTCCTTTTCAATACAGTAGAATAAAAAATACTGTATAACTATAATAAAGGAAATCACTCAATTTAAAACTCCACAAAATGAAAAACCTTCTTAAATCAAATCTCCCTCTCAACACAAAACTTTCAATCTATAAATAAATTCTCCGCCCTTCAATGACTTAGGCCATCCAGTTTTGTAAATTATTAACCGTATTACTAGTATGTATAGGTATATTAGTATAGTATATATTTTTTCTGTTGATAAAATTAAAAAAAACTATAATAAATATTATACATAATTAATAATTAATAATATGGTGACTATAAAATTTGTTCCTTTTTACATTTCTACTAACTGAATTCTCTGAGTTAGCAAATACCTCCAACAGTGAACAACATTTCAGTGGCTGAGAATGTTCAGTACTTAAAAATGTCACTGTATATATTTTTATTTTATAGTTAATGTTACGTAAAATTGCATGTAAAAAGTTGTTCTATAATACTCAAGTCTCCATTTATTTCAATTATTTATCTAGTATTTTAAAGTAATGTTATTGTCACCCTTATCTTTAGATGTTAAGCAGTGATAATCGTTTATATTTTTCACTAATACTGGATAAAATGCTCCTTTATAAATCTATTATTTGTTGCCAATATTTTAATCATTAAGTTCAAATAAAGTGAGATGGTTTTTTTTTCATTATTGCATTAATTTTTAAACAAAAAAATGTGTGTTAGTTCAATGTAAAAATTTAATAATCATAGTATACAAAAACAATTCTGAGTGAAGATGGTCTGTCAGCTATAATAATAAGCAAGTTGTATGATACTAATGTAAATGAAAAGTTAGGTAAAATTTTCAATTTTTAGCTATTAAAATTGAACACTTTAATTTTTTAACTACAACATTTTTTGAACATTTTTGATATTATAATAAATTTTGTCAAAATTCGAGCTTCAGACACTCATAAAAAAATATTGTAGATTTACGCTCAATTTTCTTTATTCATTTCCACTAACAACAACTTATAAGGAATGTTGTATTAAATTTTCAAGTTTTTTGATAGAGTGAACAATTGATAAAAATTAAAAAAAAAACTAACAATGAGATTCAACATGTTCTTATGTCTATAAATAGCTCAAAACGAGTTGCAATATTTCAAAAATGTTATGGTGCATAGAATTTGCTAGTACCTATAAACATTTAATATTTAGTATGCATCTATTGCTATTCTTTTTCAGAATAACTATATGAAGACAAAATTAATTTTTTTCGAAAACAGATTTTATAAAAAATATTGGTGTTTCCTTATTTATTGATATTTTTGAAAACTCTAAGGTTTTTTTTTTATTTTGACCCCTCAATTGACCAACTAGATTTACTTTCTTACCAGAAAATATGCTGTTGGAGTAAATTAAAGAATTTTTACCGTCCCAAATGTATTATTATAATTTCTTAATTTATCTTATTTTTTATTAAAACTTAATAACAATTATTATTACTATATTTGTATTAAATATTGACTTTTTATTTGTATTAATTGGATTTTCACTATAAATATTTTGAATTTCAGTTAATCCAATTTTTAGTTACCTTAAGACAACCTAGTACCAATAATACATTGTGCCGAGAAGTAAAAAATAATGTCAGATATGTTCTCCCTATTATGCATCATAAGGCATCAGAAAAGGCAAACTCCGGTGAAACATTTACTGTAAGTTTTTTTCTTCTTTTTATTCATATATTAAAGGTTTTGTACAATTATTTATAAAATATATTTCATTATTGAGAAGAATCCAAAGTATAAACCATCTACTTCATCAGGACCTGTGATTCATGAATTAGATGCTGCTGATGTTCTAAATTCAAACGAAGATGGCAGAGTTCACGGGGGAATTTTTAAGTAATTTTTTTCAAGTTATTATTCAATTTAAATTTGTATAAAAGTATTTAATATTATTATTTTTGTTTCTTATAGTGGTGTAGTAGAGTCAGAAGGTGTGGTACTTAGTCCTAGCAGTGTCTCACAAATGTTAAGTAGCCCTGGTGGTTCAACAGTTGAAGAGATATTTGCACCAAATGAAATTATAATGAACTCACCATTAGATGACTTAATCAGAGAAGTGTCTGTATCTCCTACCGAAGAATTATTAGAACCAAAAACAACTATTGTAACTGTTTCTTCACCTAACAAAGTAACAAAAACAACTCAAAGCAGTAATAAAACATCTAAAAAAAGAACCAAAAAAGACATTAACCCTCCAAAGAAGAAAAAGGCAACTCTTGCTGATAATGTCCAAACCCCAAAACCTGTGCCTCCAGCAACACCATATATCATTAAGGTAGAGCCAATGGGAAATGATCCACCCGTAATTTCTATTCCTGACATGGATTTCGTTGAGCCTGAAGTGTAAGTGTAATTTTTAAATATGATTAATATAATTATTAGTTATTTTGTAATAGTATTTTAGTAAGATACTGATAATAATTAGGGTCTGATATATTTTTTGTAATATATTTTTTCAAGTATGCATTCTTTTTATTATTTATATTTTTGTGTTTAAATTAATAAGGGTTAATATTTCAAATTGTAAATTGTAGAATTTTTTCCAATTACTTTATTTCTTTATACTTTTTTCCATAATGTTTTGCGGGACTTTCTGTTTTCTTTTTTAGTATATCTCCTCTTATCGATGTACTATTCAGAACAAAAATGCATAATATAGGTCGGCATGTTAGTATTTTAGGTATGATACTTATGCAGTTCAATGATCCAATTTTTTATATTCTCAATTTTGTCAATTAAATTGTGAAATTCAACCCTTGTATGAATTTGTAATTTTGTAAGGCCCATTTTAAGTATTTTATCTGGCTGGTAATACATTTTTTGTAATTAACCAATAATTTTTATTAAATATTTTGGATGATACAATTTGAATGTGGCACATTGAAATATTTAGTTGTACATTTTTATATTTTGCTATATAATTCATTCAAATTGTTTGCTTGTTTCAGCACTATTTCTAATAATGATGACTTATGGAATAATGAAATAGTTTCCAATTGTGATAATATGCAGCTTGCCAATCCAGAACCTAGGCAAGTTAATATGTGTGATGGGAGCAGTTCTGTAACACCAAATTTCCTTAATAATGCTATGCAAAAGTATGATTTTGCCTAGTTTTTTTTATATTTTGGAAAATGATAAATAGTGTCCAAGTATAAATCATATTATAGTAAATCTGTATTTACGGGGATGAAAAATTATTTAAATAAATTATTATTAATTAATAATTTAAAAAAAAGTTTGGTTTAAAGTTTCTAATTTAAACTAAAATATTTGATAATGAATGATTGCTTCCACTACCGATTTAATTAACAATTATAATTTCAACAAACTGTTCTTACTATTCTCTGTAAATGACCATTCTTTAAGTAAAATAAATACTGTGTTTAAACCCAATAACTGATTTGGACCGAAACTCTAGTGGTTGTTAGATGAAAATGTCATTTTCCAACTCTTATGCCTGCATCAGAGTTAAACTTTTGCTGCAGTTCTGAAAAAAATTATGAAATCATGTCAGATCTATATAAATAAGTTTTTTTTTTGCAGGGAGTCTGTTTCCAAACAAATTGATTTGGTTCAAGCTGACTTGGAAAGTTTGTTGAAAGGATTAAATGACAAATACACATTTGATGCAAATATGTTTCTTAATGTAAGTAAGACAATTTTTTTTACATTAATAATTGTTTTTGAAAGTAAACTTTAATTTTTATTTAGTTTATTAATGATGATCCAACAAATTTAAATTTGCCTATGACGTCAGAAGAACAGACAGTTAATGATGGTATGTAATGAGTCCAGCATTTATATTTGCTAATTATAGATTATATTTACAGTGTAATTTTGTGGTCTTGCCTTGGGGATGCTAAGTCCTCTTAGCTGTATCCGTGTTGCATTTATATGTACTTTTATACAATTTTATGTGATTCTAAATATTTATTTTGTTTTAACATTTAATAGTTACTAATTTATGCTTTGATATTTTAGCTAAAAATGGGTTGAATGTTACACCAGACAACCAAATTGTATCATGTCTATCACCAAATACTTATGATCTAAATGATTTAATGACAGCTTCCGCAGACTGGACAATACCAAACACTCCTGTGTCATTTGATACAGCATATGGAAATGAGGTATTAAATACTCCAGTTATAACTGATTCTCTATTAAACACCGACTCACTTTTTCCAAGTATAACTTCACCTGATAGTCTTAATAAGTAGTTAAGACAATAAATTATTGATAATGTTAATAATGTGTCATTTTTTTTTTGGTTTGTTAATATTTTTATGAATTCATGATCAAATTTTGTTGTAAAAAAGAAAATTTATCTTTTTCTGATGTACAGTATGTTTTTATTAAATATGTAATTTTAATTTCTTCACTCAATTCACACTATCATAGTACAATGAAATAAAATATTGTTTTTATATATATATATATACATTCATATATATATATATATAATGTGATATAGTGTTATTGATTTTATTGATTTGTTCTGTGTATAACTTATACAATCATAACATTTTATTAAATTCAACTAATTTGTAATGATTAACAAAAACATAATATTTTTTTTCTTTAATTGCTTAATATTTTCATGATGTTTCAAATTTAAGTAAAATTATTTATTGAAATATAATTATGTAAAATGTATAAGTTTATAACTATTAAGTAATAGTATAACTTGTTGAATGTTGTCATACAAATATATAATTCCTAGTTTGTTTAATTTATTAATAAATGTTACTATTTATTTATTTGTCTAAATAACAACACAATTTATTTAAATTCATCAACACAACAATAATATATTATTAATTTAATATTTAATTAATAAATAAAATTATTAATACATAATAATATAATTATTAATACAATTAAAATTTGAATAGTTTATCATTACAATATTAACAAATAGGAAGTATTTAAAAATATGTTAAAATGAATTGGATGGATTTATTCAAAACTCTAAATATTTTTGATTTCATGAAAAATATTTAGTATTTTAATCAACAATAAATGCATCTTACACAAAAAAAATCATTTTTATACATTAATACATATTATTTTTAAGTACTATATTGTTTGTTGTAAATAATTAAAAATAGGAAGTTGTTATAGTAAAGTTAAGTTTATATATAAATTATACAATGATTATACAAACTTTATTGTACGACTTAATTGTTAAATATTCAATTTGATCAATGATAATCTTTTATAATATAAAGAATAAATTTAATTTAAATTTCAAATATTGGATGATGTTGAAAATATTGAGAAATTTGCTTTATATGTTGATAATTTCTATTTACTTGACATTTTGCTATACTTATAATTAATTAATAATTTAATATTATGAATAATGGCAATAATGCAATACTTTGACTTTTTAATATGTTCAAAATGTGTACGTTTATAGAATGTACTCCATTAAGACAACAGAACACATATATCTACTACCTAGCATAAAATATCCGGACAATCTTTGTACATTTATAGGCCTCTGTTAAGGTGGTTAAGCCACCCTGGTTGGTGTTTTATCATGTTCTAAAAACCAATAGAGGATGGATGTATTTCCACTACTATAGCAGAAAAGTAAAGAAATTTGAAAAATATTCTGTTGACAAATAATAATAAATGTGCAAGTATAAATATAGTATAATACTCAATTTAAATAGTCCGTATATAATCACAATTTATTTATTAGGAATTATTATATCTATTCTATCATAATAGGTTTTGTAATTTGCAAATAGTGAATTCATGAAAATTTAAAAGCAAATTTGACTATTTTTATCAATTTTAGATTTTGAGTGATTCGAGTTAATAAATCTGCCTACAAGGTATAAATAAAAATATCATTTATTCTTTCCTAAATATTAAAAATCAATAAAAAATGATCCAATGACAATTTTTTTGGAAAATGTTACTATATTTACCATCTTAATCGTAGGTATTTGGAATTGTTCATTGTGGGCAGATTTTATTTTATAATCACCTGCATGTTTGTCTAATATTCAACCAATGGATCCTTATAAGTTAACACATTATGAACGCCTTGGAGCACTTGTACTGCTCTAAATAGTGTTCACTGAAGCATATTTACCTACTTAAATATCTTTCTTGTAAAATTGCACCCGTGGCTTAATTATAGTAGGTATATATGCAAATTATTTGTAAATCATACTATAAAATTTTTGAATTTTAAATTTGGCATATCAAATCAATATAGGTCCCTGACAAATGGCAATGGAGGTAGACAGATAGTTAATGTAATTTCATGTACCTACCTAAATAGCCAATAGGTACCTACTTAGTACCTATATAACTATCTACATTACAGTACGTTTTTAAATACTTATGTAATTTTTTTACAACAATTAAAGAAATGTAGTTAGTTACCTATCTACTTACGAATAGACAAAAGTTAATGAGAGTTGTGTAAAATCATTTGTTTATTAGTTTGAATCTTAAAATATCAAAATGGTGACAAAAAAGACCCTGCGAGAAATTTTCAAAACATAATTTTCAACAAAATAGATATAAATTGTAACTAATAATATAATTATAATATGATTTACTTTAAGCTTAACAACCAATGTTACAACAATCTTTAACAATAAAATATAAGTATAAAAATTAATGGAACAATATCTTATTAGCTAATTAATAATCTGAATATAGGCAATTAAATTTATTATTTTCTGTTTGGTTATGGACATTGAATTCAGGACACAAATATTGTAAGTGGGTTTATGGACAAAGTCGGAGGGAAGGGTTTCAACCGCAATTTTTTCTTCGAAATTTTATTTTGTTTAGTATAATTTCTGTATTTATTATTTTTATACCGTTACCTACTTTTTGATCATACAATATTTCCATATGTACCCCGACCATAAAAATTAAGATGAATCTTAACCTAATAACCTATACCTAGGTATATAATGAAATTGTGCTAATAATAAGTCTTAGGTGCTGTTATAGTATAATAGGTAGGTAGGTACGTGAGTCGTATTAAGTAATAGATAATAACTAAAAATTAGTAGTTGGGTGGGCCGATTTATACTCAAAATTTATGAGATTTAATCTAAGCCAACAACATAAGACTCGTGGTAGGTTTAGTACGTAGAAACGCTGATTTAATTCGAAATCCTTACTATCCGTCTATTTCTAGTCGATCCGGAAGCCAGACGCGTTCGGCAACCACGAGAGAATTAAAATAATATAGTACTTACCTACCTATAAATAATAATTGTGTAAACCTACGTTGTATGATTACATTACAAGGTATATGTAAAGGTTTACTTAAGATGCTACTCGAATGTCAAAATAGGTACATAAAATAAGTAAATTGAATATATACCTTATCCGGCTTATCCTATATAATATGTATAATAATAACGTACCTCTGCGTATGATACATTTTTTTCTTCTAGAAGTTATTAAAATGTAATACGTGGGTCCTTATATTACTATCATGTACCGTTTTAAAAATTAACAATGCAAATATAATTAAGACTCGATGTAAGTATTTGTCCTAAATAATCTCGATTGAGGTTTATTAGGCGTATCTTATGCGTCTCAATGCCTATCGATGTATTGTTTGTTTCATCCCTGTAACTACGATTAGGTAATAATATTCGTTTTGGCACATCGATTCAATTAACCATTAAATTTGAATAGAACTCTGAGAATCCGTCACGCCCGCCATTGGCCAAACGACGATTACGTCATTTTTATCAGCAGTCTCCTCGGATTGTTCGGGCGACGACGGGATAGGCGATGTCTGTGTACGACGAGACCTAACGCTTTTGCTAAAGAAAACAAAAAACAACAATATTAACACAAATTACATGATGTAATTACGTAAGTTTAATTTAATAACAATGTTTCAGACGCATATCGAATGTAAATAATTGTAATAATATATGTAATATTATATGGTTTCGTTCCATTATTGTGTACTATGTTCATGTCTATATACTATACCTACTAATCTATAGGTACAAATTAGTTTTGAATTTCTAACTTATAAATAGTAGAATAATAATTACTGTGTAGTTGTTTTGTAATTATTACCTCAGTCTACTTTACTGAGCACTACACAAACGTAGTATATGTAGGTACCTATATTTCATAGGAAGTGTAGAGCATCGTGTTAATCAAATTAGACCCCTCCACCCCAGTGATTGGCGTATTTTTCAATGGGTGAGGGGGCTAAACAGAGTAAATCAGAATTTGATATCCGTTACCTTATATTAGGTCGTTATTCCAATATCCCGCGATGGCGTGATCGTATTAACCTCTACATTCTACAAATAATTTAAAATACGCAAAATGTTTCTTCAAAACCGCTTTCAGAAATATAATGGTTTATAGGTGCTTTGACTTTTATTATATAAGATTCATACCAAAACAGGGCCAATGGAGGGGGCTGAAGTAAATACATGTATTATGTAAAAAAAAATATTTCCACGTTTTCTATAGCGAAGAAAAGCAAAGGCTGGGTGAGCGGTTAGGTTAGTGTAAACGATCTCTCTAAAATGTAAAAACCGTGTGCGTACGGCACTGCAGGCACTGTGGGCTAGGAGCATAGGTTTAGGTAATAGTGTAAAATCAAAAAAATATAATGGAGAAATAGTTTTAATTGTCCTAAGCTCCCTAATAAGTTCTCTAACAAGCAGTACGTGTTATGCAACGGTTGTCATATTCATTCGCGTACACAACAGTACGAATGTATGATACGACTTGTGTAGTATACCTCGGTGGGTACCTATACAGTATACGCTTACGCGTCTTGACTTGTGTAGTTATATGTTATATCGTATTTAATACCAAAATCCATGTAGGTATAGGTAATAGGTACCTCCTGGCTCCTATGTGTTATACGTCACATGATTTCGATAACCTGATCAGAAACAATAATTAGCGGTAAACATTGATTGCGATTTAGAAACTTTGTTAAATTGTACGACTTATTAATTGTTCCAAGTTTAAAATAATATTTCAACAATATAATTGAAAATTAAACACGATCGCGAGCGCTTATCATGGCAAACATCGAAAACTGTACTCACTGATTGTTTTCGGACTGATGGGCGTACAAGTCGTCTTGGTCCTGAGCAATGTACGAACACCGGCAGCACATTCGTTTGCTGTGCACTTTGAACACGTGGGTAGCCAACCGTTCGGCCCGGGCCGCTTTGTATTCGCAGAACACGCATTCGTAGGGTTTCATGTGGGTGTTGAGGTGCCGTTTTAAGCACCAATTGTCGACGCCCGACCACGGGCAAAACGTGCAGCAATACCGTTTCTCGAAGTTTTTCCGGCTGCCCTTGCGCTTCGGTTTGGTCATCGCCGCCGTACTCGTTGGCACCACCGAGTCAACTGCCAAAATGGTGTCAGGCGCAAACATCACCTACAGCATGTGTGTGGCCAGTTATTAGTGTTGAGATATTGCTGTTATTTGTTGTTCTAGCAGTTAAGTCGTATACAATGTGTGATAGTACGTGCTATACAATTTCTTAGGCAGTTAAACATTATAAAATATACAATAACTAAATAATGAAAGTCCTGTGTACGTATGCCATGCCCTAAAATCTATAAAGGAGTTAAATAGTTAAATGTAGAGCATATTTTACCCATATATACTTCGCAATGTATCATTTTATTATCAACATAATATATTATATTTATATATTTATTTTAAGGGCTTGCTAAATGCTGATTGATTTGGTTCATCATAATTTATGATTTTACGAACTCATTCCTTCGTGTAAAATTAAAATATGAATACATCCCCCAACAGATGAACCCATTACTCAGTGCCCTTATAAGATACCCTATATTATTTATAAATAAAAGGTATGAATGATTGAAAATAATATTCTGAATTCAACACATCATAGTTACTGGGTATAGTGATTAGTGCTTATTAAAGGTGGTACAGGCAATTTTATAATTTGTGTACAACGTGCATTTTTTGGTTTATAATTCTTGCACGCGTCCAATAAGAAAGCTAAATCCAACTCACCGGTTTTATCTGATTAGCTGGTATCGGTATTTGTATAGTGTGTGTGCCGGTCTGTTCGTTAAAATTTACCACGGCGATGTTGACGACCGTCTGCTGTTGCTGTTGTTGCTGTTGTTGCTGTTGTTGCTGCTGTTGCTGCTGTTGCTGCTGCTGCTGTTGCTGCTGTTGTTGCTGCTGTTGTTGCTGTTGCTGCTGCTGCTGTTGTTGGTCATCCAACACGAGGGGATTGTTAACTGCAATAATCGGCACCGGGGGCAGTGGCTGTTCGTCGATCGTCCGTGACACGATGATCTGCGTTTCCGATTCCAGCGGCGGTGGATCGCCCGAGTACAGCGTCACCCTCTGCAGGTGATGTTGATGGTGAGCCGTGACTGCGGCTGCAGACTTACCGAAAGGGTCGCGTTTCACCCGGCTCAAGCAGTACTCGTGTTCTCTATGCATGCGCGTGTAGTGTTTCTTGACGTGGTCTGCCCGGTTGAACTGCTTCTGACATATGTCGCACTGGAAAGGTTTGTCTTCCTTGTGTATGTTCTCGTGTCTGGTATACAGGTCCCGCCGGTCAGTGGCGTACGGACAGTGGGCGCAGTTAAACCGCTTCTGAGCGGTCTGCGTTTCCGTGTCGGCCGCGTTTAGTCGCATTTCGTCATCGGCGGCTTCCGATTCGGCAAGTGCTGCTACGGCGGCGGCCGCTGCAGCAGTGGCGGCGGTGGCTATTGCTTTATCTGCCGCCGCCTTCAACCGGCCCAGGTAGCTGGTGACCTCTTCGAGCACCGGACTCTCCTTCCACGATTTCCGGCCAGCCTGTTGATGCGTCCCGTGTTCGGCCACCACGTTATGTTGTCGGGCCAAGTGCAAGCGGATGCACTTTGTGTACGCGCTCGCGTACGGACACTGTGGACACTGGAACACCTTGACGTCTGCGTGCGTACCTAGCCAGTGTTCGGCCACACTGGATAGAAGGCCCATGGAGTCGCACTCCTGACACTTGAACAGTTTCTTGTCCACGTTGTAACTGCCGATTTTCGACGTAGTCCACGCGATTGTTTCGTCACTGGTTACCCAAGGGTCGTCCTCGGGCTGGGATTGTTCGCCAAACGACTCAGCCTCATCGTTGTCGATCATGCTCAGGCCCTCTTCTACCATTTTGTACGCGTCTTGGCCAGCAAACTGCCTGTCCTCGGACGACGATGTGTCTTGTCCGTAAATTTTTTTCGTAATCTCTTTGAACATATCCTCGTAAATATCCATTTGCACATCTGCCATCGCGACTTGCCTACCATCTAATTCCACCACCGGGATCGTTGTACGGTACACGTGTAACCCTAAATTCAAATATTTGAAATATTAATAACATATGAATAACATTTATCTAAGTACATATTTTGTTAATGTATATGTATGTAGAGGTAGTCATGAAATGTGGAGCGTTAATAATTAATAATTGTAGAGCTGTATACTTTGACGCATTTTGATCGTCGACGTTTCAATTTCTGATAGACCTTATAATTTATGTACTTATAAACGGATAGTGCTCACGATGATGAATGTGGGTATCGTGTCGTCTCAGTCGTTCCATACTTTTCAACGTGTACGTAGACCACGCTAGTTTGTGCATAGTTAAAAACAAGAATAGCATAAATACGTAATTATCGTATTTTATCATGATTTATGAATATTTTTTTAGTTATGATTAAACTTGTATGAAGTATTATTATATTCTGTTCAGCAAAAGAACACGTCGATTCTGCGCATCCTCCGCGTCAAGCTGCCATCGAAACCAGTTCACTGCAGGGTGTCGTGTGGGGATGCGCAGAAAAACCGAAAATCGGTGTTCTCTCTACCCTGAACAGAGTATAGTAACTAGTTTTTCGATCTCAATGTTTTCTTTATATTGATTTATTATGATTAAAAATCACTGTAACGCAGTTTGCCGTCACCGCACCATCCAACCCCACCGGTTACCCCACCGGTTATGTTAAGAGTTTAAGGTATCTGCATATTTTACTCTTTTTATTATTTAAATAACTAAAAAATAAATCGATAATATATTAACATGATTATGATAAACACCTAAGAATATATGGACTGTCAATCTTTATAAATAACTGGCACCTATATATCTTATGTATTTCACATTTAGATTAATTATTGAATTTACTTTTATAAAACACCTGTTACATCCTGCGGATGACCTAAATAAATCAACCTAACTTTCCGTTCCATCCGCTTTGCGTCATGGTGTTATTTTATTCAAGTATAACATACGATTCAATTTTCAGTTCAATTATTTAATAAAAATAAAATAATCGCAATTAAGTGCTTTATAAAGGTTAATTTATATGTTAAATAACTACCCCTATGTATACCATTCTTCAAAATAAATTTGAAATTTATAATCGATATACTCGTAAACTTATAAGTTATAAGTTATTAGTGACTATAGTACCACTACTCAATTATAGTATTTTATATGAAGAAAAAAGAATTTAATAAATATATAAATTATAAATACTACATGTCTACACCGCATGGTCACGTAGATAATTATTAATAATAAATACGTATGTATGACTTAAACAATTGGACAAATTTAGCGTTATTGTTTTGAATGTTATTTTCCAAAAGTTTTTATAGTACCTAATTTTGTTCTTTAGCACCACTTTTATCCACGTTAACTCCATGGTTATATATTTTGTTATATTGCTATCAGCAATCAGAATTTCAGCTATTTCTTGAGTAAACAACGTTTTATTTTTTTTTGTTTATTTATTAGGTGTTCACTTGTAGATAAGAACCTACGTCATATATTTTATGTGTAAAAAATAATACACACAAAATTGTTTAGGAAGTTTATTTAGTGATGGAACTATAAAACAAAGTAAAATGATAACAATTCATAAATATAATCATACATTTATAGTATAATGATAAAGTATTTATTGAACATTAATAATTGTGCGTAGTATAATTATTTATTCACCTGCTCATCAATGAATACGAATTTTATTTTACATTTGGAAATGGTTTTATTTTATTTGAATACATATAGAAAAAATATGTTTCAATTTGTTGGACTTCAACTAAAACAACAACGATTACGAGTGAAATTATGAGCGGCTTATGCTAACAAATATGTCTATGGATTTGTAGCAATATACATACATAATAGGAAAAAGTATTATACAGCGTGATTCAGCAAGCATGCAGCACCCCAATTTGTTCTTATAAATTTATTCAAATTCTGATTTTTGGAATTTTTAAATGTACTTTAACATTGTTTTTTCAATTATTTAGATTTTTTATACCATTTAAGGATTATTCTGTGGCGATATAAACCTTTTTTTTTAATGAGAACCAACTGACTGTCAAACACTAATAGTGACTGTTTTTTTCTGAATGTATGCATGTAAATCAAACATTTAACAAGTAGTTTCTGAGTTATGAAAATATATAAATATTAAGGATAATATTATATTCATGAAAAAGGATTGATAAATATGTCAACTATGTGAAATATTGGATCTAGTATTTATTATAATCGAACGAAAGTTTTACAAATTATAAAATATTGGTAGAGTATTATTAATTTTCAACATTTTTCAAATCATCATTACACCTAAAACTATTCATACGAATTTCGAATTCGATACATAAGCATTTTCTGAAAAGTCTCCTGTTTAATGTCTAACTATGTATAAGTACAGGAAAAATGGGTGGTTATCATATTTTGAACAAATAAGCTATTGTAGCCACAAGACATTCTTTAAATGGCATGTGCAATTATTTGAAAATATTGTTCTTAAGTATAGGTACATACAAATTTATACAAAAAAATAAATAGAATTTGAATAAATTGATCATTGCTGTATGCTATTGCCTATTTGTAATTTATTATTCAGTTAAATTGGACGTTTAATAGAACTGCATATGGACACAGTGATGAAGATTATCATTAATATTAATATATTTAAAAATTGGATTCTCGCCCAATATGCCGTATAATAAATATTCGTATCGCAAATAATTATACGTAGGTACTACGGAGAAAAAATGTACACTTGCACATTTTTTATTTTGATAAATGCATGATATGACTCTCATATATTGGCTGGTTAGTGCAGAAATGCAGCTTACTCAAGACCTGCATCGCAATAGGTTGCAGGTGTATTGAATATCGATTTTGAAAAACTTCCTTAAAACGAAATACAATACATGTATTATGTATAGCACTATTATTATAATATAATATTATTAGTTATTACATATCAAGATCAGCATTTCTTTGGCCACCTATACATTGACGTAGCACAATTGCCTATCCGAGCGCCGTGTAACGAGTTAGCCGGCAACCCGCACCGACGACGTCGCCAAACAAACTATAATATTAATATTATTATACAGAATTGCTATAGCCTATAAAATAGTCGGAAATCGTGGGGCCGGACAGCGGCGAATAATTATATTATTATAGTCGACGGTATCGCCGCCGTAATATGATTATTATTTATGATTCATTAACGACGAACAAGTTGAAATAACCTTATGCTTTAAAATTATAATACAGGCATATTCATAGAATATTATAATAATATCATACAGTTCGACTGTCGTTTCGTGACAATCGTGTGAAAACTGCCTGTCCGATAATCAATAAGCCCGGAACGAACGCGTACCCCGCGCGGTACACACTTGTTGTGTGATAACACAGCGGTGGTACGCTACATAATATTATTATTTCGAGATTATAATATGGTTTTAATGTTTACTCATTGTATTAAAAACGTGATACCTTTAAAGTAGCAGAGGTTAAGCCATGTCGGAGACGGTGATATGTGTTGCCATAATATTACTACGCCTAAACGGATTCGCCGATAAATTGTTCGTAATATTATAATATCATACAGCAGCGGCCGCCATATGGGTCCGTGGGGTATGTCGTACATGGGTGGGTACGATTATTTTCGGTTCGTACCCGTATATGTATATATATTATATAATGATTCATCACCATAAAATGTAATATAATAATAATAATAATAATAATAATAATAACATATTATATACCGTATTTTATTGTTGTCGTCGTCGTCGCGTGTCTTCGTTGTTATTATTGTTGTTGTTGTTGTTGTTGTTGTTGTTGTTATTTGTTATTATTGTTATGAGTGTTGTTGTTACGTACCGATGTCGTGGAGAAGCCGTGACGTGTCCCTGCGACGTCCGGATCAATTGTCGACCGCGGCCGAGTGGCGGTGACGCGAATAACGACGACGGCACGACAAATGACCGCGCGCCCAGGGAAATGATAATAAACGACTACCACTACAAACGTATGTGATGATTGACTTAAATAAATGCATTGCGACGTGTGCAGAGTATTGTGGCCGTCCAACAGCACCCTCTGCCGGTGTACAGATACGTTTTTTCGGCAATAACTGACAACAACGGACATCCGTCTTCCCACGTAAAACTGCTTCGTTTTGTGTATACCCGCAGTAAAAAAAAAACAACGGGCAAATAGGAAACGACTAACGGATTTCGGGGAGGGGGTTTTTAATTTATTTTTTCATAAATTTTTTTTCGGTTACAGACGCTGCAGCAGCCGGACCGGGTGGAAGAGGAGGTGGTCGGCTGCGAAAGCTGTACAGCCGTGGGGGTAGGTGTAAAGGCGCAGCGCGCAAGGGCGTAGCTACGAAAATCGTTCGATCGGCTACAGCTTTCGGTTGCTAATGGAAACCGGCATGTTGGATTTCGCGGCCAGATAGCGTGAACTCTGTAAATAGCATATTCCCGAACGACCAAGTGCGAGGACTTTTGTATACGTTTTCGCCCGTATCATCCCTCATATATGTGGGTGGGTGGGTG